ATATATATTCCCTGAAGTAGGAGTGATGTACTAGGATGAGCACCAAACTAAAGCTTTGGACCTGACTCCTTGGTCTGCCACGTATAAGTAAATCTCCCAGGCTCTGAGAGCTTTAGATATCCCATCTATTAAAGTGAGGGCAAGAATAGAATCCACCTCACATAGCTATGATAAGGAAGAAATAATAGGATATACGTAGAAAACCTTTACAAAACAGAAAACGTCCTCTAGATAGCTGGTATTATTTTATTTCTTTCATGTTTTCCAGTTAATTCAAAACCTGCTATTTTTATTTACTGTATATATTCTTTGAAAATCTGAACCTGGATATTAAGTAAAGGGTAAATTTCATAAAAGGCTTAAAGTGAATCTATAGGAAACCTAGAGGCTATATATCCTGATATATTTAAATATTATAAGAAGTCTTTGCTTATACTTTCAAAATTAACAAACTATCAACAGGATCTACTATGTGTGTTCAGGCATGTAAAGTGCTCTTTTTTCTTCATAGGGAGGGACCTCTGATGCTCCTCCTGGAGCATCCTTGATGAAGCATGCAGAAAAAGTAACAGTGCATTTCCAACTAACTGGTCTGGAAAGGTGGTCAATATGCCATTTAAAATAGACGTTTCAAACTATATCTATCTAATTGCCCTATTATGGTAAAGCCCAAAGTACATCACAGTTGTACTTTATGAAAATATCAGAATCTCTCATTCCAGGAAACTACCTTAGTCTTTTATTTTAGAACATTACTCTTTAAAAACAAACAGGATTAAGGTTTTTTAAAATTAAAATGTGACTAGAGCTTATAATAATTTGGAAGGTCACGGAAGTTCTAGATATATATGTTTAGTAAATGGACTTCTGCTTGTGTAAAAATAAATGGAAGTGCACTGTATCTTTTCCAAATGAATGGGTACATAATTGGTGGGCAACCTACTCACCAGGCTATGAGAGATTTTCTACAGTCAGCAAGGGGGAAAAAGAAGGATATAAGCATAATATTTTAAATGCAAGAGAAAACTAGGCCAGTTCAACGGTTTTTTTCTAACCATCCTCTGAAACTATTTCTCAAGCATCGTTTCTTTTTCCTTGACCCAAGTCAGTTTGCAGACAGCTATGAAATGATCAAAGCACTTTTACTGTAGATAAGCAATGACTATGGCTCCCTTAAGAAATTCTATGTTGCCTTAAAAAGCTTTATTGTAAATGAAACAGTTAAAAATTCTTGCTCAAGCTTTATCCAGAGCACTTAGTGCTCATCTATATTAACTTTGTAAGTGAAGTTTCTCTTATCTTTCACGAAATGTCTAAGCAATACTTTTTGTAATTTATCGGACTTACTCTTGAGTATTATCATAAATTCCAGATTTTTGTGCTCAAACACCAGTGCAAATCCTCCTAGAGGTTTTCATTCCTGATGTTTAACCACAGACTCTTAATGCACACTTTTTGCTGAAGCTATGTCTTTACTGGATTTCAATTAAAACAAAAGTAAAAATGTCCATTATAGAAACTAGTTTAATTAGGAATCCCAAATCAGAAACAGACTCTTTGCTTTCAGTTTCTTTGCTAAATTTTGCTCAGGCAGATAAGGAATCTAATATATAACATAGTTTGGCCATAAAAAAAGATACAACGGGAAAAAGAACACTACTAAATATGCAGAGTCTCTCCGCTAAATTAAAAGCAGACACCACAAGTACTAAACAGTTATTTGGATTCAAAGAATAAATTGGCTCATGCCAACATCTAAAGTTAGAGTATCCCATTAATTCTTTTAAAATAATAATACTCAAAGAAAAACCAATTAAAGTTTATAAATGCAAATCCATTGATAAGAAGGGCTTTAAAGTTTTTAAGTTACAAAATATAACACAGTTGACCTTTAAATTTCGAATAGTAAAGGTGTTTTCTAATAAAAAAAACTTTAATTATTAGGTTTTTACTTTTTTGTTGTTTTGGTTTTTTTTGGTTTTTTTTTTTTTTTTACCATTAGGCCATAGATCTCAGAAGAACTCCGGACATTTGGAAGAATTTCCATTGGAATTCCAAAAAATCTGAAAAACAATAAGATTGGGTATTTAACACTGCTTTAAATAGACATATAGAAACATATATATGTATTTAAATGCAAAAAGTGTAAATAACAATTAGAAATGGATGTTTTTGAGCATGGAGTTAGATAGTAATAAATACATAAGCCAACAGAACATAGTTGTATTCTTAGATATTTAACATTCTAACTTTATGCAAGTCAATCAATAAAAATTAGAAAGCACACAGAAACCAAAGTACTTTTATAAAGGAACCTAATCTTCCATGAAGAATAATTAATTTGGCCTGTTTATTATATATGCAATAATAGTCTCTCTTTAAAAAACACACAACATAGATTTGCATATTGTAGTTGAAATATCAACAGTTAAATTTTGGTGCTCCACTGACATCTGAAAATAGTAAGATTTCGGTTATAAATAGGTAGTGTATTGGGAAAACTATATGTAGAACAAAGCAGAACTCACTCGCAGAGCTGTTTATCCCATTCCAAAGAATGAATGTTGAAAAGCATAGTCCTACTTGCATTTGTTACATCTGTACAGTGGACACCTCCATTGACTCCTCCTGTCAAACTCTAGACAGAATAAAAAAGACAGGTTAAATTTGTACTTATTTGCAATTTAATTTACATATTGTTAAGGGTCATAATCAGCAGAGCATATAAAGCAAAACAATGGAACATTACATTTATCTAGTTTTCTAGTTTACAGCAGTGTCCAATAGAAATAAAATGTGAGCCACATATGTAATTTTAGATTTTCTAGTAGCTATGTTGAAAGTATACAAGAAACAGGTAGAATTAATCTTAATACTGTGTATTTTATTTAACCCAATATATCCAAAATATCATTTCAACATATAATCAGTAAAAATATTGAGATATTTTACCTTCTTTTTTCTGTACAAAGTCTCTGAAATCTGGTGTATATTCCATGCTTACAGCAAACCTCAATTTGATCATGTTTCAAGTGCTCAATAGCCAAATGTGGCTAGTGGCCAGCTTATCAGCACAATTCCAGTTACTTGATGGATAAATAAAAAATCAGTTTTGTTTTCATCCTATTATGTTTAGAAAACTCAGAGTCTTATTAAATTTGGCAAGATGAAATAAATTGAAATATTTGCCTCATAAGGATTATTAGAGAATTCTGTGTTGTTGTTATCTCTGTTTTGTTGTTGTTGTTTCTGCTGTTGTTGTTTAAACAATTCGCATTATGCTGTCTACACTCACCTAAGCATATATCTTAAAAGGAGAGTTTTAAACTTTCTTTCTCAGGTATACCCACATGCCTGAACTGGAGGCACTGCTGCCTTCCTTTACGTGGAAGCAATAAGAGGTAGGAAAGGAACAAAGGTCGATAAACAGCATCCAGTGGGTTATAGCCAAAATGTGCTCCCTTGAGTCTCCTGCAGCTCACGGTTTCCACATCTTGCCTTACTCTGGTCGATGCAATTGTCAAAGGTACTCATTCGACTGTGACTGACACACGTGAAAATGGCTGGCCATGAACACAAAGCACATTCTGCCCTGGCCAAGCACATGGAGAGGTGAAGAATGTGCCTCTTTCTGATACGGGTTCTGAAAGACCTGCTCTGTGGATCTGGCAAGTGAGAGTGGGGACAATATTTCCTTGACGTTCCTTGAATGTTGAAAAACATCATTACATACTGAAATATTTACAAATAAAATGAAACGTCTGGCATTTGTTTTAAAATTATCTGTGGGGAGAAAGAATATGTGAGTATAGTAGAAACAAGATTGGCCATAGGTTGATGATTGCTGCGTGTTCAGCTTAGGCAAAGAGATTCTAAATAGAAATGTCCACTATGATTTAGTTTCATATTGTGGCTTGATTATACAAGAGACAGTTGTGTAATGTTGAAAGCAAAACATAAAAGTACTCTAAGTATTTTATCCTGCTAAAGAGTTATTTTGTCTAAGACATGGCTAGTGGGAAAGGAGTATATAACAAACAATAGAGAAAGGGTACCTAAATTACTCATCCTAAAGATAATAGATATGAGATACAGTTTTGGTAATTATCCTTCGTTTTCACTGAAATAAACCAAGAAAAAATAAAGAGGAAGTAGGCAAAAATCCTTCTCGAATGGAAGCTGAAATGTTCTCCTGCTGCTTCTTGAGTGGTTTTTCTTCATAATGCTGCTAATTAAAAAGTCTGACCTGCTAGTAGAAAACAATAGGCAAGGCAGTCTAGAAAAATGTCTGAAAAAATTCTCCATATATCCATTCTATTTAAACATACCCAAATAAGCCATGAATCAATAGTCCCAAAAAGAGCTCGTTTTTCTTCAACGGCCTTTTGAACTTTTCTCACATTGTCAAGGAGCCAACGAAGTTTCACTGCACTGAAGTAAGTGCTAAGTGGAAGGCCTGTCTTGGACTAAAACAGTTGTGAAGTTCAGTTAGCAAATGAAATGTGTAACAGTTTATAACAAAACCACCAAACCAAAGAACTCAACAAATCACAAAATATTCAAAGACCCTGAAGGCAATCCCATAGTATTATGAATAAAAATACTTTTCCTGTCTCATGGCACAGGAAAGCATGTTCATGAACAAAGATTAGGGTGACATGTTTACAGTTCAAAGGGCATCCACGTAGCAAGGTAAAGAAAAAATTAAATGACACAACATCCTGTAATTAGATAGTGACAATGCAGATGTTGATTTTTGCAATAAATTAGTATTGTATGTATAACCTAGTTCAAAACTATGCTGTTTATTTTATATTCCATAAAAATGGTATTTAAACTATTAAAAATCAGAGAGTATACCAAATCATAAACTAATGATCATAACCAGAAAACTTTTAAAACAATAAGACTTAATAACATATTTTATATATATACACACACATGTTCAAATAACATAACATGCAATTAGTAGACACTAAAGTAGAACTCAAAGACATGCCAAATCAAAGCAACACAGGGCCAGGTGTGGTGATTCATGCCTGTAATTCCAACACTTTGGGAGGCTGAGGCGGGTGGATCACTTGAGGTCAGGAGTTCAAAACCAACCTGGCCAACATGGTGAAACCCCGTCTCTACTAAAAATATAAAAATTTAGCTGGGCATGGTAGTGCACACCTGTAATCTCAGCTACTTGGGAAGGTGAGACAAGAGAATCGATTGAACCTGGGAGGCAGAGATTGCAGTGAGCCAAGATCACACCACTGCACTCGAGCCTGGATGACAGAGCGAGATTCTGTCTCAAAAAAAATAAATAAAAAATAAATAAAACAACACAGAATTACTCTATATAAAACAGCAGTTGCCTAAATTTAGCAAATATATTAAACAGAGGGAACATGAACTGAAGAAAGGTTAATGGGTAAAAATGAAACACACATGTGCTTACCAATCTTCCTTGAGAACGGGTCAAACCCAGCTCATTTGTGGTTAGTATATTAAACACTAAATGCATATATAAAGGCTGATTAAAGTTAACTAGTTAAGAAAATACATACACAAAAATAATGCAACTATGTTCCCCTCCCCATCCCTATTCTCATTTGTCACCTAACTACAGAGAGTGATAACTTTTTCCCTCCTATCTCATACAAGTATGGTTTTGTAAGAAGACTCAAACCAAAATATTTAATACTCTAATGCAACCTGTAAATTAAAAATCTTAACTCAAGGTTTTCTAGCTTTCTTAAAAAATAATAATAATAATCAATGTACAAAAATAATGAAAAGAGACCAGGCAGAGTGGCTCACATCTGTAATCCCAGCACTTTGGGAGGCTGAGGCAGGTGGATCACCTGAGCTCAGGAGTTCGAGGCCAGCCTGGCCAAGACGGTGAAACCCCGACTCCACTAAAAAATAGAAAAAAAATTAGCTGGACTTGGTGGTGCATGCCTGTAATCTCAGCTACGGTGGAGGCTAAGGCAGGAGAATCATTTGAACCCGGGAGGTGGAGGTTGCAGTGAGCAGAGATTGTGCCACTACACTCCAGCCTGGATGACAGAGTGAGACTCTATCTCAAAAAAAAAAAAAAAAAAGGAAGGAGATAATTTATGGAAATATTATTTAATTTGAAGGACCAAGGGTCATCCCAAAAGACGACCTGGGAAGATCTCACAGAGTCAATGGCAAGGTAAAACATAATATCTTATTTTCATGATGGGGGTAGAAAGTGTAAAAGTTGCCTAAAATGACATTGGAGAGAAAAACATGCATCCCTTGAAGCAGAGTGCAGCTGGAGGTGAGGATGAGGGTTGGGCAGGGTGATGAAGGGAACGGAATAGAAAATGATTTATTCAGGACAAGTCTGAAGTTATTGTGGGGGGACGGAATGGTCAGATTACTGCAATTAATGGGATTTCAACAGTAGTTTTAGAAGAAAATGACACAAGCATCCAACTGACAAATAAAAAGGGGATAAACAACAACAACAAAAACACAAAAAACAAAAACAGAAAAAGGGAACTTCCTTTTAGATGCTAGAAGAACTTGGCCTTGACCTTGCTAAAAGAAATTCCTTGCCTATTTTAAAAATTCACTCTCCCTTCCTTTATGTGAAGAGGGATCTATATAAGGACTGAAAAGTAGGCAGTTTTATTAGCCTTCTTCATATGAAGAAAGTGGAAGAGGGGTTCAATAAAGAGCTAGAGCGTTTTCTACTTTCTCTCTCTCCCTGAATCCAGATGCTTAAAAACTCAAAAACAGCCAGAACATTCTTTGATGGGCAGTAGAAAATAACAGGGATAGATTTGGAAAGCATAGTTCAATTATAGAAAGCACACCGCCCCCAGCACTTTGGGAGGCCGAGGCGGGCAGATCAGGAGGTCAGGAGATTGAGACCATCCTGGCTAACACAGTGAAACCACATCTCTACTAAAAATACAAAAAATTAGCTGGGCGTGGTGGCATGTGCCTGTAGTCCCAGCTACTCGGGAGGCTGAGGCAGGAGAATTGCTTGAACCCAGGAGGTGGAGGTTGCGGTGAGCCGAGATTGTGCCATTACACTCCAGCCTGGGCAACAAGAGTGAAACTCCGTCTCAAAAAAAAAAAAAGAAAGCACCCCTAGGGAAGTTATGACTTAAGCCACTGGGACACATTATAATCTCCTCCAGCCTGTCAATTTTGTGGTATTATTGTTCCAATCCACCACAGAGCAAGAAAGACAGGAAGGTAAAGACTTGAGTTGGCCTCAATTATCCAGGAAAAAGATTCTATAAATTGTATCAAATAACTATTGTACCATAAGATGCTTCTTTCTAGTGAAATCTGCAACCTTTTTTTTAAAAAAGAAATATTCTTGTAGTATACTTTTGAAGAAATTCTTACCTTGACAAAGTTATTATTTCCTGGAATTCTTTTACTAAGACTCTCAACGGTAGACTGGGTTCTTAGATCAAGCCACACTATAGACCAAAATAAAATAATATACATGAAAAACTTCATTTAAAAAATAAGAACTTACTGAAATCACCATCAAGGATAAAAGATTGATTAGTTTCTATAAGGAATTAAAATGCTATAGCTTTCAAGAGATAGAAATTAGAAAATTAGAAATGAATGGGCATATTGTTAGATAAAAATAAATTTATGAGAGGATTTAAAGCTTTTATGCAAAATTACAGACCAAGTTAGGAGAATAATACAAACCTTAGAGTGCTTATTTTATATTATTTTTATAGAACAAAACTACAAAAAATATTTGGAATATAGATTTTCTAAGCACACATGAGGCCAGAGAATATCTAAAAGCTAGGCAGGCTAGTTGGTAGCACAAAATGCAAAACCCAGGATCATCATACCATATATAAAGTGTGCATCTTAACAAACTAGGGAGCAATTTGTGACAAAGACAAAGTAGAGAACTTGATTCTATTATTGAGGAAACAAAAGATTCCGTCTGTTATATATAAAATGCTTATTTACATTGAAATCTTTCCAAGTATGCTAGACCCGGAATCGTTAGAATACTTTTAAAGGCACCATTCTTTCTCTCTGCTGGACTATAGAAAAAAAAAATCTCCATTTTAATGGATCAACATTATCTTTACTAAGTAGCTATTATCTACTTTCTAACCCCCTGGTGGAAAGGATTTCTATTTTGCTTCATGATAGTAGGCTTGAGGAAGAGGAAACATTAAATAGTACATAAAGTAATTGTGAAAGGCAGCCAATAGAATCATCTGAATTTTATTTGCCAGATTTAAGTTTTGTACTTAAACTTTGATAACTTTTAATCTATTTGTGGTCATTTGATATTTTTAGGACACTGACTGCTCAGATACCTCCCGAAAAGACTCAGTCTCATAGTCTATTTAAAGGACTCCAGGGAAGACTATGCAAGCTTGCCCACTACCACATATTTGAATGGTAGCAATCACTGTGTAGTTTGGTTAACTCTTCTCTATTACTCCATTCTCTTCATTAAAAAGCAGTTATTTCCTGTAGTAAATGTTAATCAATTCTTTCTAATTACTTATGCTGTCATTTCCCTGGAGAGCCCTGCACTTCATTTTGACAGTGGCTACTTCCCACAAGATTGAAACTGGGGACTTCAGGACAAGATACTGGTTTCTGTAGGTGGGAAAAGCAGCAAGAAAAGACTCATCACAACCAAGAAAACAGGAGGGAAAAGAGAAAGACCATGAAAATAGATGGCCTATAATAGATAACGTCTGCATTTGCTGTCCAGTATCTACTCCTCCTGCATCTGTTGGGGAGAGGTATTTCGAATTCTTTTTAGGAAATCGGTCCGCCCTCATCCTCAGCCATGTAGTGTGCCTGAGATTTGATCTTACTCCCAGCTCCAGGAATGGGTCTGGATCCCAGTGACTGGATCAGGAGATAACATGTGGTCAAAAAGATTTGTGCTCAGTCTGCAAGAGTCCCTCTTCTCAGTTGACCTTGGCAGTGTGTGGCTTGGGCCTGCTGCCCTCATGAAGGGAGAGTTGAATATGCCACATCAGGAGCCATCCCAGAAAAGGCAGGCTTGAGGGGGATGCAGGTGATACTGTCTGAGTCTGGAATCAAACAGCACCTGAACTTAGCTACCCTTGGACTGCTGCTTCCATGAGCAAAAGAAATGCTCCCTGCTTTAAATTTCATTTAGTTGAAATAGAATTTTATATTATTTACACTGTGATTGATATAAGCCATTAGTGACATCATCATGGAGGTGGCAAGATCTCCCATGTCCAGGGAACAAGGGCAGTCTACTTTTACACTGTGACAAAAGTGGACCTTCCTTACAGGTAAGCAATCCTAGCAGGTGTTATTGGCTTACAGAAATAACTAGAAAAAGTAGAAGAATTAGAAAAGTTTTAAATCTATGATAGGTAGAATTAACAAGCACATCTCAATACTCAGTGTTTCAAACTACAGTGAGCTATGAGTTTAAAAATGAATTTAGTGAGTTTTGATTGCCTACTTTAAAAATTGAAATAGGATGAATTAGAATGGAAAATATCAGAGTTCACTGCACTGGGTAAGATAAATATTGATTTGTGAAACTTTTGTTTTAGTTATGTGGATTTGCCGAATCATTATGTAAAATGCAATTCTTACCAAGGGGCATGAACAAATACATTTGAAAGCCACTACTCTAGGCTTTTTTGGTTAATGACTTAAAATATTCTAGACCAGTGTTTTTTCATATTTTAATGGATATAACATTCACAAGGGAACTTAAAGATGGGCTCCATCCCCATAAATTCTAGGATAGAAGTTCTGGGAATGAGGCCCAGAAATCTGAATTTTAAATAGGTGCCCCATTTTGAGAAACACTGCTAGACTTCACAGCAGTGGTTATTTCCTCTAAAGCATACCATGACTACCTGGAAAACCTTAAAATCCAGGCCCTACCTTGCATGATTCTGACTGCAGGTCTAGGCAAGGCCTGAGCTCTGAGCCTCTGTACTTTTGTTAAAAGTATCTCAAGTAATTCAGTATAAAACTAAAATATGAGAACCTCTTTTCTTTCTCTTTCTCTCGCTCTCTTTTTTTTTTTTTTTTTTTTTTTTTGAGACAGAGTCTCGTGCTGTGGCCCAGTCTGGAGTGCAGTGACGCAATCTCGGCTCACTGCAGCCTCCGCCTCCCGGGAGAAACTCTTTTCATCTTTTGAAGACCATGTTCTTTAAAATACTAGGTGTGTTCCAATTATTTGTTAAATAAAAAAAAAATCTAAAAGAACCCCCCGATTAAGTCCCAGTGGCCCTGTGATTCTATTGTTTATTAGCAAGGACCACTTAGGCACTTTATTCCTCACTTGAAAGTTTGCAGCTATGACTGACAATAGCGGTAAACACAGAGTTAAATCCTCACCACAAAGAATCAAAACACTGGATGTGAAATCAGGGAGACCAAAATTCAATGTTTGGCTTTGCCAACAATAAGCTATGTGACTTAGGCAATTCATTTTACCCTTCTTGGTCTGGATTCTGTAAATATAAAATAAGGAGGCTGGACTAGATGGTCTCTAAAGTCTTTCTCCTTCCATTGTTCCATGATCATAGAAAGCTGTCGTAAGAATTACTTTGTTTTTATAGCCAGACGTTAAGGCAGTTAGAATACATGGAATGCATTAGTAAAACTGCCAAAGAGAAAACTATCAGTGTTTGGTACACTACCAAGCAATTCACAAATGCTCAAAATTAATTGAATTAAGAACAAAAAAATTAGAAAACTCATTAAAGAAGCTAAGACGGCAGAATTAGATTTGCAGAAGAGACCAAAGCCAAAGAGAAGACTCCCAAGCTGGAGGACTAAGCCCCTTGTGTAGGTAATCTCTGAGAACAATCAAAAGGAATGACAGATCCAGATCTGGCAGCAGAAGTCAATTTCCCCCAACATATAGGACTTGGGAGGCTGGGAAGTGAGCAATAGCCAGAGCACCAATACCTGAGGAAGTACCAGCAGCTGGAACTGAAGAGCCAGAGGGAACAACGGCAACTGGAACTGAAGGGCCAGGAGAAACTGGAGCAGCTGGAGCATTAGAAGAAATAAGGGCAATTCATGCTAGAGATGGCCAGGTTCAAGGTCTCTTGTTGACCATGTAGGAAATGATAGATCACTTGGGCAAGTTCGTCAGAATGAACATTTTTCTACACACTGGAGTGTAGAAAAAGAAAAGGAAGAGGTGGGGAGCAGAAAGGGAACAAAGGATGTCCAGTATGAATCTCTGATTCAATAATATTTTCATTTGGATGAAGACAGGTAAATACCTGCTTCTTGTTTAGGATGACTCTTCTCTACCTGGCAACATATATGCATCCTAATTAGAAAAGTGGCTCAGGTGGTAATCGACTATTCATTCAACCACTAAATTGAAATGATGGATGGTGTACTGAGGAAGCACAATCCTAGGGGATGTTAGAAAGGAATGGCAAGGAGCATGCTACAGTCTGTGTTGTGACCATCTGCACTAAGACATGAAAGGGCTGTTTTGGGAAGGCAGGTCCCCAAGAAAGCACTTTCCTGGTAAGACAGCTGGGAGTAAAAGGCACCTCCACAGAAGGGAGCAACGTGTCTAGAGGGAACAGGGGATTGCTAACTTCCAAAGTAATTAGGAAAAAAATAGAAGGAAAATAGATGCTAGGGAGTCAGAACACTAGACAGCCCACTTCTAGAAGGTATATCCCTCCCCTTATCTACACCAAGTAAAGCGGAATTAAATGGTCAAGCCCACCAAATAAGTAAGTTAATAAAAACAACTTGGACGATCTGAACTTATTTGTATTAAATAGTCACATCCAATCTGTCTGGTAGATTTAGTTTGTTCTGGAAAAAACAAAAAGTTTGAAGAGTGAAGATAAATGTAGTTGCCTCAATCCCCGTGGACTAGAGTTAGTGACATAGTAACAAACAGTACAGAGGAATAAATTATTTTTAAAATATTTAGAATAATAAAACCTCATAAATTTCCAGTGTTTCATTAGTCATAACAATAGAAGGAAAAACAAAACACAGTGAAAAAAAAAAACCCACTAAAATCATCTAACTGATTTCCAGTTGACTAGAAACAAAGACAAATAATAAATCTTCTCTGAAATGGTCTGTCATGAGCTGCTAGGGTGATAGGAAGTGAGGTGAAGGTGAGGCTCCAGGTTACGGAACACATCCTAAGCACAGACTGCTGACAGTTACACAAAGTGTTACGGGGTTGTTTCTCCCACAAGAGACATGATAGTAAAACAGATTTAGTTATGGCATTTTACTATTTGTCAAAAGCTAAGCTATTAATTAAGCTGGGTAAGTGGTCATTTGCAAGGTGGAAGAGACTATATTGATGGCTGCCCCTCACCTTCATTCTCAGAAACAGGTGGGGCCAAAAGTAAACCAGAGAGTTGGGGAGGAAAAATTGATTTACATATATGCCAAAAGGCAGGGGCTAAAGCCAATTTCAGCTCTT